AAGCTCATGCCTGGGGCGGGTGCACCGGGCATGGCTGTTCTCAGCCCCCCATCTGCGGTTCCACTGCACCCGACATCCTGGAGGAGCCTTCCCGGCAGAGGGAGTGGTGGCGCCGGCCGTGGTTAGACCACACTGCAAGTACTGCCCCAGTACAGGTCCATAATGGGATGCAGCCCTTCGGCAGGGTCCCTGTGCCAAGAACTGCTAACATCCGCAGTGAGTGTGGTAACAGTGCTTTTGGCAAGGTGTCCCCCATCCCTGTGCTCAGCTGCAGGGCACTAACTAGGGCTTGTCTGCTTCCCAACACTAACAAGGTGTTGGAATGGGGGTGGCTGGGCTGGGTTTGGGGTTACTGGCATCCATCACTTCTGACCACTGGTGCTGGAGGGACCCTGCTTTGGGGATGTGGGAGATGAGTTGTTGACCCTGATGTCCCCAACAAGGATCCCTACAGGTGTCCTCAGTGCTGTGTTAGGCAGAGAACCCTGGGGAGATGGCAGTGGAGCCATCCTGGGCATCAGCTACGCCATGCCACCATGGCACCAGCCATGCTGTGACACCCCATGCCACTCTGGCAGTGCTGAATTCTGGGGAATACTTCCTTTTCAAGTTGGACAGCAAGGAAGAGGTGGTGGTGACAGAGGAGCCACGGCTAGGCAGACAAAGTACCTTCCAGGTGAGCATGGCTGGTGGGTTGGGGTGCTGGCAGTGCCCGTGGTGTGCTGACAGTCCCTGTCACCCTGCCAGCTCACGTACCAGGCCTTGATGACCAACACCAGCACAGCACTGCAGCAGCATGGGGGGCCTCATCATCCTCTTCCTTGTGGCCATCATCTGGTTCCAGCTGCTTTTCATATTGCTGGTGCGCTCTGTCGTGGGCATTGTGAACCACCCCATTGGTGTCACTGTCACACTCAAGCTGGGGGATACAAGGTGAGGATGCAGGGGGTGGGTGCTGGGGTGCCCAGCCCAGATGCCAAGGACTCCTGCCCAGATGATGGCACCTTGTCCCTCCACAGCTGCTGTTCAGTGTCCAGCATCAATCCATCCATCCCTTCACCCCCCAGGACTATGAAGCCCTCACCAATGAATTTGAGAGGCAGCTGGTAAATCCTTCCCTGCTTTGTACAATCTTCCCAGCTCTATCTTGCTGGGTGCCTGGGATGAGGGATGTCCTTGAGTGGGTACTGAGCCGTGTCTCCCCAGGTACCAGGTGGACATGCTGTACAGCTATGAGGACATCGTGACAGCCTGCATCGAGGGCAGCTCGGACTCGCTCTGAAGCATCAGCCCTGAGACAGGAGCAGGTGCAGCAGGAGCTGCAGAACAGCCCCTCAGACATCACCCTCTGTGTCACCTGGACCCTCCAGAGGAATTGCTGGCATGGGGGGGGGGGGGACGACAGCCCTGCCTACACCCGCTGGCACACACACTGCTGCCCACGGGGCAAGGAGGGGACAGTGGAGCACACCTTTGACAAGCACACCACCAACCTGCAGCCTGGTGCACCCTAGTGCATGCAGCTGTGCCAGTTGCTGCAGGGCACTTGTAATACCCCCAAGTATCCCTGTGGGGGTGTAGGGATGACACCCCCATGCTCAGTGGGACAGTGCCCCTCTCACCTCACTCTTTTGCAAGCAAATCCCCAAACTCTTCCCCAAATACATCTGGGCACCCAATGGCCCTGAAGCCAACCCTGTGAAGCAGCTGCTGCAAGGTAGGTCCCACCATGGTGTCCCCCCCTAAAAATAATCAGTGCTGGGGGCACACCAGCATCTGTGCTATGTCCTGACAGTGTCACCCCCCTGCAGAGGGGGAGGACAGCTATCTGGACGTGGAGGTGCAGCTGAAACAGGAACATGCAGGTGCCAGTTTCTTGGGTGGTATGGCCAAAAGAGGACTCCCCCACGATGGCAACATCCTCCCCATGGTCTTCAATGATAAAGTCACATCCCCCCCCGGGCTTCTTGGCTGGTTAGGGGTATGTGGAGGGGGTGCATGGGGGGTACTGAGCTCTCAGCTGCACCCTAAGGGTGGGGGGTTACAGGATGTGTGTGTCTCCACGTGTCTTGGAGGATCATGGGGCTGTACATCTCCACTGTGCTGGTGATCGGGAAGTTTGTGCGGGTTTTCTTCAGTGAGATCTTGCACTCCATCATGTTTGAGGAGCTGCCCTGTGTGGACCACATCCTGAAGCTGTGCCAGGGTATCTTCCTGGTGCAGGAAACAGGTGAGCTGCAGCTGGAGGAGCTCTATGCCAAGCTCATCTTCCTCTACCACTTTCCCAAGACCTTGATCAAGCAGATGCGGGAGAAGTAATAAAGGGGAAGGGGCTCTTCCCCCCCCCCTCCCCCCAAAGGACATCACCACCTTAACAAGTCTTCCCAAGCTGGGGCTGCATCCTTCCAGGGCAGGCAGTGGGACACACAGATCTCAGCACTCACTTTTAGGGAGGATGTTTTTCTTACATTGCTTTGAAGCACTGTCTGACCTGCAGAGACCGCATCACATCTTCGCGAAGAGGGGGACAGGAGCCAGAACCCCCACCCACTGGGTACCCCTGGCTGCTGGGCGAGGGGGGACAGGAGCAAGCCTGTGCCTCCCCCCTGCTCTCCCCAGCCCCATCCGGAATCAGGTTGAACTCAAAAGCAACAGCCCCCCAAGCCCAGAATGGGGGGCCCTGGGTAGTGGCCTGGCAGCCCCAGCAGGATTCTAGACACTTCTTGTGACTTTGGTTTTGTTGTTTTATTTTTTTATTATTATTAATTCAAATGGTTTATTTATACAGATATCTAATAAAACAAAGATGAGGGCTGCCTGGCTGATGCTCAGCTGGGGCAGGGGGGGCAACTGCTCTGGGGTACCAGCATCCCTGCCCACAACAAATGGGGGCTGGGGGCTCTCCTTGGCTGTTGTGAGAGAAACAGTGTTGCTTCTGCATACTGGGGAAGGGGCTTTGCAATATTAAGGTTTTGTAATATTAGAGCTTTTCAGTATTGGGGCTGATTCGGAGAAAACTCCAGGAACAAACTTACCAACAAAGTTTTCAAGTTGACAAGCAGGTATTTGTTATTGCGGCACCTGGAGGCACGGGGGATAACTCCTCCTAACGTGTGCCCCCGTACTGCTACACGGGCCGTCCTTATATAGTCCCTGGGCATACATATGTATTCATGAGGCTACATATGGATTACATAATTTTCTAGAAAGTTTCCTGCATGCGTACAAAATTGTGGTGGTGGTCTCTGAGGGTCGTTTACTTCTTGAAGCATGCCCAGTAGATGTTTATACCAGCTTAATTGGTTCGTTAACACCAGAGACATAACAATCATCCTGTCCTTCTACTTATCAGTTAGTTTAACTGCAGCCCATCCTGGACACCTGCCATTCCCAGATACTCCTTATCCCTGTGTCCTGTTCTTCTAGCCTGCTTTTCTTACACTCATTTTGTACTAAGGTCATAGGGCCTAAAACTACGTAAACTACAACAGCTTATCTTGTACAAGAATTCTCAGTATGTTCTCTAGCTGTACTTTATTTTTTTTTCCATGTATCATGCACCTCAGTAAATTTCCATTGCTACTGTTACAAAGCCATCAAACTTAAAACTGATTCTAAAAGTTTATATATCTAATTATGTGTCCCACTTGTCTCAAATCCCCCCTTTTTCTGTCCTTTTGCAAATACTTTTGCAACATTTTATATATTACCATTACTATCAAAAGTCTTTTTTAAATAATTTCCTGTTTCTACTTGATGCTTGATTTAATTTCTTTTCCAATCCTCATAATTTATCATAGATATTTTACAATACCAGAAGGAACACTGTATCATACCACAAGTAATCAGTATTAAAACAACATCAATATTCCTGCAACCAGTTGCCTCAACCAGGAGAGATCAGGTAACCATGAAGTTAATTTTTTCCATATTTCTTCAAAACCTCAGGAGGTGTCATCCATGGCCATTTCATGAAATATATTAGTTTGTTTCCAAATTTCCTCCAGATCTGTTTCAATTCTGCCACTTTGTCCTATATAGGAACAGCAACTTTCATTGATTATGGAACAAACCCCTCCTTGTGATGCCAATAAAATGTCTAGAGCCATTTCGATGTGTAATACCACTTTAGATAGGCTAGTCATCTCTTTTTGTTCTGCCTGAATTATACCAATGGTTTTACTTTCCATTTCCTCTATGGTTGCTGAGATATTTACAATTGCCTTCTCTAATTCACTTACTCCCAAAGATGGAATTATACATATTATAAAACTATGAAATGCAGTGTTACATACAGCAATAGGGTTAAACCCTCACTTAATCCATTTAGCAAAACTTCTAAATCAGGTCCCAGAAAGATACGTGTCAATAATAGTAAGATTGGGTATCATAGAATCATAGAATAGTTAGGGTTGGAAAGGACTGTAAGATCATCTAGTTCCAACCCCCCTGCCATGGCCAGGGACACCTCACAATAAACCATGTTACCGAAGGTTCTATGCAACCTGGCCTTGTACACCACCAGGGATGGAGCATTCACAACTTCTTGGTCAACCTGTTCCAATGCCTCACCGCCCTTACAGTAAAGAACTTCTTCCTTATATCCAATCTAAACAGCACCTAAGTTGCATGCCCCCTTCCAGTCGGGGGTATGGTCTTATAAGCATTTTCTCCACATAACCAATACCATCCTTTCCCTTTAGGAACGGGCCATCACTGAACTACAATACCGTCTATATTAATGGTGTAATTGTAATTTGAATAGTGATCTACACCTGTGGCATTTAACAAGCATAATCTTTTACTCTGGTTCCTGGTGTGATGCATCTTTGCACGCAGGTATAATATTTATAACCTGGATTAGGATTAACTATCCCAAATTTTAACCTTTCCCTCAGATGTAGATTGCTAGTGTTCACCCACAAATTTGTCCATGAGATAGTGTTAGGAATTGGAACTCCAGTTCATGGAAGGTCCGGATTTTCTCCTGATTTAGGCAACTGTGCACACACAAGCAACAGTCACTATGATTAAAACATTAGTAACATTCTGCACTAATTTCAGGTATAAATTCTGGTCCCAAGCTTGTGCGCCAGTTATCATATAAATCCAAATTATGACCAATGCAATTTCATATGTAAGGGTCCTGAAGCTTTGATCTGCCATTTCTTCTCCGGCTCTGGTGCTTTCTTTATTATTGATTAGTGTATCCAAGCAGGTTGTTCCTTTATCTTCACTGCTGTAAAGGTGGTCAATAATACCTGGTATGGTCCGCTCCATTTCTCCTGTAGAGGATTCTCCTGAAAAATTCTTAACATAAACCCAGCCTCTGGATCTGAAAGGGTGAATCGAATAATCCAAACCTCTTGCTCTTGTACCTATTATTCTGTTATTTATCTCCTCCAAATGTTTTCCCAGATTGATCAGAAACAGACCGAGATAGCCTTCTCCCACTTCCTGAAGACTTTCTCCTTTGAAATGGGACTGATATGGTCTTCCATATAGAATTTCAAATGGGCTAACCTCTTCTCTCGACCAAGGTTTAGTTAGAATTCTCAATAGAGCCAGTGGTAAAGCTTGATACCAGTATAAATTTGTTTCCTGACACATTTTACTAATCTATTGTTTGATCAGATGAACCATATTTTCTACTTGCCCACTGGCCTGAGGCATGTATGGAACATGTAGTTGCCAATCAATTTCCAATTTTTTTGCTACTTTTTGTAACAATTTTGCACTGAAGTGTGAGCCTCAGTAGGAAGTAATTGCTACTAGTACTCCAAAACAAGGTAAGATCTCATTTAATAATGTTTTAATCACTTGTTTTGCATTATTTATCCCACAAGGGAATGCTTCTGGCCAGCCTAAAAAAGTATCTGTTAACACCAGCAAATATCGATAACCCCCTTTTCTTGGTAATTCAGAAAAATCTATTTGCCACTGCTGTCCTGGATAAATTCCTCTCCCAATTGTCCCAATTTGATTTCTATTTTCAGTTTTAGGATTATTCTTAAGACAAGGCTGACATTGTTTTGTCACTAACTGAACTATAGTGTATAGATTCCTTCCTACAATTTGTTTGTTTAAATATTTATACAAAGAGTTCCTACCCCAATGAGTTTTATTATGTTCCTCCTGAACTAACTTCCAAAGCTGGTTATAAGGGATTACAATTTGCTAATCAGTTATCTGAACCCAACCCTCTTTGTTTTCCTGTCCTTTTAGATCTTTAAACAATTTTCTATCGTGTTTTGAACACCTAGGTTTAGATTTCTCAACTGTTAGTTTGCCATCAGAGATTAAGGACATGATTTGAAATTGTTCAGCTGCTCATTTGGCTTCAAAATCAGCCACATTATTTCCAATTTCCTGATAAGAGTTACCTTGTTTATGCACTCTACCGTTGTCCTGGGTTTAGCAGTAGCAGTCAATTTTTCTCCTTCTTGGTAGCGGGTGCAGCGCTGTGTTTTGACTTTCAGCCTGGGAACAGTGCTGATAACACCGATGTTTTCAGCTGCTGCTAAGTAATGTTTACCCTGACCAAGGACTTTGTGAGGCTCATGCTCTGCCAGGCAGGAGGGGAAGCCAGGAGGAAGCAGAGACAGGACACCTGACCCAAACTAGCCAAAGAGGTATTCCATACCACAGCATGTCATGCTCGGGGAGGTAACTGGGAGTTACCCGGAAGGATACGGGGTCTTCTGGGTCAGACTCGTTTTTTGGCGGGTGGTATTGTGAGGTATATAGGAATGATTCGTGTCAGCAACTTAGGAGTCCTTGTCATCATTGTACTTTGGGTGGAATCGAAAATCATGTGTAGAATGTAGACGAATGATCAGATTAAGATAGATGTTCCTGTCAATACAATGATGAAAGAGAAGAAGGAACAAAGGAATAATCCTTCCTAATCAAACGCTTTGTTACTTTAAGGGGTACTTTGTTTAAGTACTCGAATGTCTCAAACGCTTTGCTAATTGCAGGGGTACTTTGTTTAACTGCTTGAATGCCTTGAGGGCGTTAGGTAATCAAGAGATACCTTCTGTTACAGGATGAGGTGAAACTTGTGTATTGAATAAGTAACTATATAAGAAATGGAATTTAGGGGACTAAGATGGTGGTTAAGCTTGTGACAGACATCCCCTGTTAATGTATTGCTAAGGAATTCAATGACTTTTTAAGAAGTATCTTCACCCAAAGATAAGACCCCAGCAACAGAAGGAGAACAATGAAAAGGAATCACGTCGATATTCGGGTGAAGGAGACGACAGGAGACTCCTCGCGCACCCAGCGCTGCTTGCTTATTGCCTCTCGATATTAATCAATTGTAATGAAAAATTAATTACGTCAGACCATGGCCAAGACGGAATTTTTATAACAGTATCGTATTCTCTTCCCTTGTTATTTTCTGTTATCATTGTTGGTGGTGGTGGTAGCGGTGGTGATTTGTGTTGTACATTGGTTGCTGGAGTGTTCTTGTCTCAGCCCGTGGGAGTTGCATTTTTTCGATTCTCCTCCCGGGGGTGGGGGGGGGTGGAGGCGGACCTCGACTGCTTCCAGCCGGGCACCACTCACTGGGAGTGAGTGAACGAGCTGTCTGGCTGGGTTTAAACCACGACAACCATAAATAATATCTACTTCCTCAGGTAGCTGAAC